TGCTCCCCAAGTCTGTGACGGGTCTCTCTGGGTACTTTAGCTTCCTCCCAACATCATGTGTGGGGTTCTTTTAGATTCTCAGATTCTAAACTTAATCATAGGTGTGAATCTGAGAGTGAATGGTTGTTTTTCTGTCTGTGTTTGCTCTGTGACAGACCGGTGATGTGTTCAGAGTGTAACAAGTCTCACGCTAGGACAGTTATAAGCTCCTGCCACCATGAATATAATAAGTGGAAGAAAGTTAACAGCACTTAGCAGTGGTGCCAATACTGTACCATCGCTGTTAGTAATAAAACATTATTTGTGTATTTGGGAACCAACTTTCCTATGAATTACAAAGCATGTGCAGCTAGTTTATTTTCTCACATGGTAAGCAAAGCGCTATGACCTTTTAAATAAAATGCTCTATTCAGAGTGCAAGTTGATCATTTAACATCAAGACAGCTTAAACTTGTACAAATTAGTATTGTCCAGATTCAAAACTGCCAATGCAAATTTTCAATGCTTACAGCCCCATGTATTTTCTTTCAGCAAATCTTTGGTCAGGCAGGAAAACTTTTACTCAACTTTGTCAGTAATAGCTAAAGTGTCATATGCAATGAGATGCATTTAAGGCACTGAAGCAGCAACAAAGTGACAGTCTCGCCACATGCTGTTAAAGAAACAACACCTTCAGTATTGTGACACAGTTCTGTGCTAATATTGTCAGCATGTGAGTTTAAGACATTTGTTCTTATGGATTGAAATGTAAAGATTTGTGTTAAATAATATTACCTTCACCGCATCTCATCTGCTTCCATATTGGCTTGTGCTTGTAGTCATGATGTCTTTTGACAACCCACACAGTTGAGTCAGCTCTGGCCTTATGTGAAGAGTAGTAAAAATATATAACAGGCAATAAGAAATGAAAAAAAAAAAATTGTCCAGCAGTGTCTCCTTCAAACTGCAAACTGCATTATCTTATTTATTTTTTGTTTCCTTGTTGTTTTTTTCATTTTTGGAAATCATTAAAAAGTCTACAGATTTATCTTATTTATCAAAAAAGGTTTTTATTTTTTCCCCCCAGAGTTGGTATTGAGTGTGTTCTATGCAGCAAAAAGAGCATTTCCCCCCAAACGTACTGAAGGCTTGGCCCTCCATAGCCATAAATACATCTGACTCATGCATCAGAATGAGTTTTACTTAACCCAAGTCTGAAATTCCATAATTGAATTTCAAGCCACTCATATTCATTTATTTCATTTTCAGAAATGAATTGTGAATGCATGCACAGAGAACGAAGACCAACCACAGAGCTGCTACCTCTGATCTCAACACAGAAACCACTATCCCAGCATGTGATAACTTAATGGCCATACTCCATCCTAGAGACATCAAAAAGCACTACTTTTAACCACAGAAGATTTCTTTGAACCTGTGTGACACAGGACAGTACAATAGTCCTTATGTGGACAAAGAGGCAAATCCCACAGCAATTACACTCTGCCTTCTTCACTTTCACCGCTGCTCTATTGTTTGGCTGTGTGTGTCCTGCTCTTACTTTGTTTTTGTCTGTCTTTCTAATACTACCCCATATCTTCTTCTTTAACACAGTCATATGTCTTCATAGCTTTCCATCGCTAGCTTTCCTTCTAATCACCTCAGTCATACAGTTTTTCTTTGTTTTGTCCATTAAGAAGTCTTCCATGATGGTGTGGAGAACAGTCATTAACAAAAGCACATCAGAATTTCATGTTAGCTGAAGGTATAAGTGTTATACAAACTGTTACGGAACTAAAACCGAAAATAAACAGTGTATATGTTCCATGATGTGTTTTGTGCATCATAAGTTATCTACAGATCTGTCAGCAACCGTGTAGTTATTGATCAGTGGATGCTGAAGCATTTGGGAACACTGTAATATTGCCCTCCAAATTTTCACCTATGCAGATGAAATCCTAAGTTTCACATATTCACTATAATTCTGCAGGTGCACCTGATCATTTTCCTTTGGAAAAACTTGAGAGCTAAAATGTGCTTTTTATCACAAAATATTTGTAGTGTATTGCCTGTCAATATGTCACTTGTATGAAGACATTATAGTTGATTTTATTAATAATACCCCATTTCCACTTCCTATCCAAACATGTTATAAAATCAATCACCGTGGCTGCACACATCTAGCCATGAAATTACCCAGTCACTCACCATAATCTATCCACTCACCCCACACACCACTGAGTACACTGCACTACTGTGTCACTGATAATGACTCAAGTTCTAAAAGTATCCACTGAAATAGCTTTTGCCTCTTTAAAGTAAACCACCACCATCACTGCGGAACTGACATTAGACTCTAATGATGTACCAGAAAACATTATCTGATGCTGTAAAACTGATATCCCAGCCTGGACAGCATGGTTAGTAACTCAACAATGCACACTTTAATTGTAATATCTGAATATAGAAGCCATGCACATGTACTGAAGAACACCACCCCAATACATGTTCATGATTCCTGAGAAATGAAACTTTTGGTACATTTTAGTCGTTTCTGCCTAGAAATATTCATCTGAAAAGTGCAGACTTCAATTGGATGTCCGTGGTTAGCATCAGTAGCAAGACACGATTTGGTGTTCAACCCAGGCTCAAATGCCCAGCACAGTCATGCACAGAGAACTATTGCCACATAAGAATGTCAACATTTAATGACACTATAAAGCCTTTTTTTTTTTCTTCAGTACCTTGGGTTTGAAAATTCTCATTACATTCAATTTAATTGTGAATAGATTTCAATATAGCTAACATTATGGGAAACCCATTCTTATGACAAACTATAGAAAATGTATAGTTGGGGAAGATGTGTTTGGTTAACAATAAATAAAAAGTCAAATGTAAATCGCAGGCCAGTAGCAGAAGATGAAAAATGAGTGACCCTCCATCATTCAGACCTCAGTTTAGATGTTTATGCACAAAATGTAAATAGTGAAATTAAATCTTTAGAATAATGACTTCTTACAGATTACACTAGACAGTAAAATTACTTAAATTCCAACAGTTTCTTCCAATGTCACAGTGATTGAACTACATGAATACTGACTATCTACTTAGATGGATTGCTTGGATCGGCTGATATCCATGGCATCATCTCTTATCAAAATTGTTTTTTTCTTGTTTTGTTTTGGGTTTTTTTGCATAAAATGTTATTTGGGAAAACAAGTAAGCAACTGATGTACTAACATTTTCAGAATTGAGGCATACTGCTTTAGATAATGTATTGTTCTGAAAGATAATATAATTTTAAAACATGAAGTTGAGCACTTCAGTCTCTAAAAGTTACACTTAATTTACCAGTCAGAAGTGATGTCTCTAGGATGTAAGACTACTAAGTTCTGGTCGATAAATGTCACTTTTTAGTCTCTAAAAAATTGCTTCCGACCTGTGCCTTTTACGTAAGGCTAAAATTTCACTTTGATCAATTTTATTAATATAAAAAACAAAAAATATATTTAAAAAAAAAACGTTTAATTCTCTAGACCATCGAGTATTGTCTTAGGATCTGTATTCTTCATGTCACTTTTATTTAGGGCTTTTCCATGTATTGAATATCTAAATTAATGTGTCTTCTTGTATATTGTAAAATAATTATTGTTATTTTCAACTTTGTGCATAGTTACTGGGTGGCAAACTGCAGACACAGAAACAAACTCAAGGAAAGCAACTTCTCCTGTAACTAAGGGACATTTCTGCGATCTTGCTTTTCTTTTTCTGTGCAATACACTGTGTTTCACAGCTATTCTCCCTTTATTATCAAATCACAAAATCTTGTTTTCTGAATTATGATTTTTCCAAGGTGTGTGAACAATATATAAGCTTCTGTAATCTGTCAGTGCATTTCCTTTCAGTGTATTTGTATGTGTAACATGTTAGAGGCGAAGAAGAGCAGTGAATTTATAATGTGCACGTATCTATTTAGTACGAAAAAAGGAAATATACAATAAGCGATAATGCTGACTGCTGCCAAGACAATGACATTAACACCCAGAACTTATCAAGGACGCTGTCAGCACATCTCTCCCCCTCTCTCGCTTTTGCTCTCTCTGTCACTCACTCTGACTCAAAAATATCTATACAGAAAAAAAGTGCACACACAGCCAAGAAGGGAGAGGCTAAAAGAGAAAGACAGAGAGGAGGTGGAGGACATTATCTTGATGAAACAGCGCTTGATACAGTAGCCAGAGCCAACCAGAACATAGCTCTGCTTTCTTTTAATGGAGATTACACAGTCAAGGTCCAGCCTGAGCTCATCTTATTTAACACTGCATACAACTACATCATTGTGAGTGTGTGCATGTGTGTTTGTGACAGTGTGTGTGATCTAATATGCTGCTATCTTGCGACACATCAGCCATAATTACTGCACACCTCCTGACCTATGATCTGGCAGCCAATCAAATCCCCCACTATTGCTGACCAACGCGAGCACACATGAGTACTGGGGATGTGGTGCAACACACCTCACATCAATCCACCATCACAAGGTCTGCAAATTACTTGTCTTATTCAGGGTTTTAGATGCAAGTATGTTGCTGTTATTACATTGAGTATATCAGAGGGTCTTTACAAGACCTGACAAATGACAAAAAAGTATTTCCTGATGTGCGCACTTATACTTTCTGAAATGCAGTAGCTGTGTTCAGTGAGAATACTGCTTCTGACATTTTCACTTTCTTCTTAAGGTTTTTTAAATTGGCCCTAAATTCACTTTCAGGTAGTGTTTTAAAAGGCCCAGTCTCTTAATTGCAGCATTCTAAAAACCAGCAGAGTAAAGACTCTAATAATTTGTAGACCTTGATTTCACATCTCTCTCTCCATCTCAGTCTCTCTCGCTCAGTCTCTCTCTCTCTCTCTCACTCTCTCTCTCTCTCATGCTGTAACATATAGCTCTTCTTTTTTCTTCCTGTTTGCAGGGTGTTCTTCTTTCTGTGGCATTGTATAGGTTGGAGTCAGATCATACATACCTCCTTGTCTACATATTTTCTTGCCCGGTTTCCTGGCACATTCCTTGGATATTCTTTTGACTGTAAAATGAATAGAAAACTAAAGAATAACATGGAGCCCCTGGACGCGCAGTGCACACAGGAGCTGGCATGCACACGCACACATGAACACTCACGCAGCGCTGATTGACTGAAAAGGACTTGGAGAGGAAGGAAGGGAGAAATAAAGACAGGGGGAAAGAATGAATAACACCAGCTCAATCAGAGCAGTATTCACTCTATCAGTCGGCCAGCCAGCCAGTCATTCAGCCAGTCAGCCAAATCAATCGGTGATGATCATGACAACAACTGTCTTGTTTAATGAACTGTAGCCATTGTGGATGAGCACAATACGCTATGATGAGCTGCAGACATGAGAGTGGGGGGGGGGGGGGGGGGGGGGGGGCCTGCAGAGCAGGGCAAATAAAGAAATGAGAAAAAAGAGGAGCTGAGAGGAAAATCTGTTCAAAAAGTCTGAAGGAATGAATGTGGAAGAAAAAATATTGAGGCAGATGTGGAGTGAAATTAAAAGTATGCACACTGTTCTCTCTTTCACACTTCACTCTTGCACATTCATGTAGTATAAGAAATATCATGCACATTTAACATGCACAAGGTCATGCTTTCCCTTCTAATGACAGACATACAAGGACAGAAACAGAAATTCACTCTCACATAGTAACAACACACCCCAACAACACTTTTTTTTCCTCTATCAGAAGGTTGTGGGTTTAATTCTCTCTGCCCCACCTCCCTCTGTACTCAGCCATCCTACCCTGGGCTTGCAGGCAAACTCACCATCCTCAGTGGGAACATAGATGTTAAGATAGAGGCAGTCCTCGCTCTGGTCCTGGACGTAGGTAGACACCACATCGATGCTGTTGGTAAACCACACTGGCAGCATGACATCTGGCAGACGGCCCTCGACGATGCTCTGGGGACACACTGGGGCAAAGTGTGTGGCATTGCGAATGTCAGGCCATGGTGCCGCTGGCTCAGGTGGCTGAAAGCGGCGCTCACCAGTAGGTGGAGCGGCATATGGAACGCCCAGAAATTGTATGACAGGACCCAGGATCTCATTGTTCAGCTCCTTCTTGATACCACGAAGCTTGCCATTGGCTGTGGTTACTATTGGGTCATTCTCATCAAGTTTCTGAGCCAACACAACAGCTGGACATGCCTGCAGAAGCAGCAATCCCAGCCATATTAGAGTGGATACCCACCAGCCAGCCTTTAAGGAACCTTCTAGACCTACATATCCCATGCTTCTGCTCCCACATGTAGCACTCTGAAGTAGCCGACATCCAATCCTCGAATGCTGCCTCCACTCGAACATGGCTGCTGTCCCACGTTTTACACTTGGTTGCTTTCTCTGTTTTTGGCCAGTTCTTGCTCGTGAAACAAACTACTTATTTCCTTTTTCTCACTTATACCATGCAGATGCAAACACAAACACAATCACAAAACTGACATTCATACAAAAGTAAGGTATAAGGAAATTGGTAACTCTGGAGCAAATGAGGGTTGTGGATGCTAATGATCCGTTTTAAAACCAAAGCACTGCAAAGCATCCAGTAGAACTGTAGCAGCCATCAGTTTCCTCCAAATTGGTGAAAGAAAATCTGTGAAATATTCCTCACAGTATGAAAATATATTCCTCAAAAAGGTCCTGTAAACAATCACTGGACTGAAGGAGAAAACACTGAAGATTTCATCTTTAGGCACCACTTCTCAGGAGATAGACAAGCCAGTCAGTGATGATGGTTTCCATATTGCCATGTACAGCGGCAGAAGCAGCGATTGCGGTGCAGTGGGTCTAGTAGGTACTTGTACTGTGAAGAGTCAAGTCCAAAGTTGGTCCCCTGCAACACAGTAAACACACATTTAGCATTCACACTAAGAAGGCAATGATCATTTTTAACCAGTACCATTTTAAATTTACAAAATTATTTTTCTTACTTCACAGCATTGTAGACATGCCATTTAATTTGTCTCATACCCATATGCACGGATGGTTACATGAGATAACATTCCTCAGCAACACACAAGGTATCAATCAGCATGCATGGCAACAAATTATAATGTAGAGTTTAATTGTATACACTACTGACAGTGTGACACTCCATCCCACCGAGAGGGGCTGATATTTAGACAGACCTTAACTTGGATCCCAGCAGCAACAAGGCTTACAGTCAAAGCCACAGGTCATTTCAATGAAAGTGGATATTGTGACATCATTAGTGCCACTGTACCACATGTTATGGAGAGGCAAAATTTGGAGATGGTAAATGGGTATGTAGCAAGGAACTTCATACAGGTGGCTACAGTTTGTGTCATGTCACAGACCTTGTATTAACATTCCCCAGAAACTTTGCCTGTTTTACCATTCTCCCAGTAAGTCTGTCTAATGAGATATATGGTAGTAACACAAATTAATTCCAGCTGAAACAAGGTAACACACAATTTTTACTTCACCCTTTACGCCACTATGTGTTTGTGTGTGTGCATGAAATTGTCGAACATGAAGGTATGTCCTTCACACTATGTGGTTTTCTACCTTTCCCACACTTCTTAGTAGTCACTGTTCCATCTGGATGAGCTCACCTTCAATTTCATACACTGAGGTAATCCTGTTTAACTGCACACACACAGCAAACTGTCAAACTAGCTAACATTAACACAGAACTGCATTTTCACTAAAACACTAACATGTTATACTCCTAAAAGTTTATGTGTATATCTGTATATGAAAGACTGATTGATCATGCAAGCAAGTACAACTGTGATTAACGGAAGAAACACGACAATGAGGGAAGACTAGAACCTGAACCTAAGTGTCCATACACAAACAGGAAATCTAAGGAGGCTAAGTTGACTGATGCACAATCCTACATATTAATATCTGATAATATCTTACCCAGCCCCAGTTACTGTCACTATCCTGCAAGACTGAATATTTTGTTGAAAACATTGTGTTAGCATAATGCAATAGGGGGCATTTTTTTCCAACTTAAAAAAAGCTTTGAGCCACAAAGATATACATGTACATAAAAGTAGGAGTGATATGTAGAGTCAATGTACATATCACTCCTACTATGTGATATGCACATATACTGTACATGAGTGAATTAAAAAGATGAAGGAAAAGCCATTCCCATTTAATATTCAATTTTACCTGAAGGAGTCCTCCTTTTTTCTTGCAATGTTTTCTGTGTCTTTTTTGCAAGTCAAAATTTGCCTGCTATATTTCTGAGTGAATGCTGTGCTTCTGTTTGAAGTTAGAAGGTGGTGGTTTTAATGAGAAACATGGCTTTGCAGAATTATTTTTTTTTGCTACTGTTTCTATTTATTTACCAAAAAAATACAGACATTACACCTAGTTTGACATGACAGCTTACTATGAAACTGCACAAATCATTACAGTATAAGTCATTGCACATGGTTTTCATCATATCTGAATGCTCAAAAAAGAGAGGTTCAGGTAACTGATGTATTTCAAGGCCAGGTGCATTTGTACTGTATAGTTTTTCTGCTTCAACACACTCAATACTCTTTTCTGGCATCGTTGTATTAAACTCAGTTGTATATAGCATTTGTATTCTATTTTATTCAATTGTATATAGTATTTTATTTTATTCTATTCTATTCTGTACAGTATCTTATTGATATCTTATTCCAGTGTTTATTTTTTTCTAATTTTTCTATGTAACTTTGCACTGTCCACTGCTGTAACAAAGGTTACCTTAGGTTACCTTATCTTATCTTATCTTTAATTTAAATTATAATCAGATAAATCAAGTTCATTAGTCAGCTTGAATGAATGAATGACTAAATTATTAAAAGGGCCGGGCGATATGGCCTAAAATCCATAATTCATATTCATTCATATTCATAATTTGAAGCATGTGCGGTAACAATATATATCGCGATATATTCTTTTCTTCCGTAAACGTATTTTCCACACTATAACGTGCACTCAAAATCCTTTAATTTCCACAAAAATCGACAGTGCGCTGTCATGGATCGCTGTGTGGCAGGCAGGATGAGGACCCAAAATGCAAACTCACGGACTCAGGGGATAAACTCAAAATCACAGCTTTAATGCTGGAAGGCAGATCACAGGAAATACAAAACTTAAACTGGGAACTATAAACTAACACTCGCAGAGAGACACAGGGAAATCCACGCAGCATGAGGGAGAACGCGACACAGAACTGAGGGAGACGCAGACATAAATACACAGAGGGTTAACGAGGGAAGTGGGAGCACACGGGGAACACGGGTGACACTGATAATCATAACAAGACACGGCAGGAGTGAACACCACACTGGCGGGAGAGGGGCAAAGTAAAACAGGAAGTACAGAGGTTCAGACAGGAGGAGAGAGAGCACGGGGAAAACACAGACATAACGGGCTGGGGAAAACATAGAATAAACACAAAGAGAGACAAGGGCTCTTGAATACACAGAGGGGCACACAGGGGGTAAGAGTCACGAAGGGAAAACACTTAGGGAACAACACACCAGGGCAACTCAGGAAACATGGCCTAAATAAGGAACAAAATACAAAAATACATGAAAACTAAGAATACTGGGCCAACATGGCCCAGGACCATGACATCACCCCCCCCTCAAGGGCTGGCTCCCGACAGCCCAAACCCGAGAACCGAAAGACAAGAAAAAAAAGGAACAACCCACCCAGGGCGGGAGGCGGGGGACCAGGACGGAGGGAACGAAACCAAACAAAAGACAAGGAGCACGAGAACAAAATTGAGTCCACAAATACACAAAACAGGGCAAAACAGGGAAGCAAATGTCCAAAGAGGTCAGAAGGTCAACCCGGGAGGTGACAGCGCAACAGTTCAGTTTGGCTGTTCCGGGGGCTGGGGTAAAGTGGCAGTGGCAGCAGAGCGGGTCCGGAGGCCGGCCGCGTGGAAGACTGCGGCGGCTGTAGAGCGGGTCCGGAGGCCGGCCGCGTGGAAGACGGCGGCGGCGAAGGAGACGACGGAGCAGTTCAGGGGACCGGAAGCGGGGGCCGGACCAGGCGACGCAGAAGCAGATGCAGAGGCTGGACCAGGCGAAGACGAGGCTGAAGCAGATGCTGGACCAAACGAAGCTAGTGGAGGTGATGCGGGAGCTGGATCAGGCGAAGCAGATGAAGCTGAGGCGGACGCTGGACCAGGCGAAGCAGATGAAGCTGAAGCGGACGCTGGACCAGGCGAAGCTGAAGCAGACGCTGGACCAGGCGAGGGCGATGCCGAAGCCGGACCAGGCGAGGATGAAGCCAGGGCCAGACCAGGCGA